CCCCCCCCCCCCCCCCCCCCCCCCCTCCCAATGCGCTTCGGCGCTCAGGCTGCACTGAACTAGACCAGAACTGGACCCCCAGGCTCAGCGGTGAACCCAAGAGATACTAGCCGGCCCACGAGGACCTCTGAGCAGGGACGCACTGGTAAGTTAAAATTTGAAGCTACAGTACATGTTGTTAAAATTAGTAGATTTAAGAGTTGAAAAAATTGTGGGCTTCGTTGCTGCAGGGCAGGTCTGCAGAAATGGAACCGAGTCGGACCAGAACAGAGTCGGACCAGAAGTGAGAGCCAGTCCTGTTCTGCAGAGCCTGGTAAGTAAAATTTAGTAGCTACATATACAGTTCTGTATGTATGTTGTTAAAATGACATTGGTTTAAAAGTGTAGAACATTGCAAGAGTGTGGGAAGGATTTTAAACGCCTATATACATATACATACATATACATACATATATATATATACACATACATATACATACATACATACACAGATATATATATATATATATATATACACATACATACAGAGCTATATGAATATATATATACACTCTGCACCACCAGGTGGCTGATTAATTTTTTGTAATTAAAGTTTGTGTTCAGTTGAAAATATTAGTTAGCCAAAAAGAGGCCCACTAAAGTGAGTTAACCCGTTTTGACAATGATACGAGGGAGACGTCCACACAGCTCCATTCAGCTTCATGCCTCTTTTAGTTGTTCAATGCTCATTTCATTTCTGAAAACTCATGTCTGTGCTGGACATGGTCGGCTCCATCAATGATTATTGACCAGCCATGCAGAGGGAGTTTTAAGAAGGACTGGTCTGTGTAGCCATTTTACAGAACTGTTTTATTAGGAGTGTTTGCAGACAAGTGAGTCTGTGCATTTGGAGCAGCCAGTTTGAAAACCACGCCTATTTTTGTGTGTACATCTTGCAAAACTTGTTTGAGAACATGCACATTATTTTGTTGCACACCTATTGCTTTGACTCACTTTGTAACCATCTTGGCAGCCACCCCCCATGTTTATGATTCAAGCTGCTGAATTACACTTTTAAAAATGAAGATTGGGACCAGTTCTGTTTATTCTCGACTGGGTTCAACCTAATCATTTGGGTCTTTAGCCTAAAATGTTTTCTGTCATAAGAGACCTCCTGTGCAATGTAGAATTTATCAAAACCAAACTGAGAAAGGGTTGAGATGCCTGGAAAACCTCTGTGACAATTTTGACATAAACATTTTTGAATAGGTTCAAAATCCAAGCAATAAGACTGCAAGCATGTGCAGCTCATATGATAAAATTGAGAATCTTGCAAATTTTGGAGACTCTGTTGCAAACGCTGTTTACCAACTAGTTGTGAACAGTTACAGCTCAGTGAGAACCAACCTTTAATCTGAGTTATTGGATGAAAGAGATGGGCAGCGGTGGCTGAGTGGTTAGAGCAGTCATCCTCCAATGCAGGAGTTTGGAGTTCAAATCCACCAGCAGTCACATGTCGAAGTGTCCCTGGGCAAGACAATGAACCCCTCGTTGCCTCCGATGTGTGTCCCATTGGTGTATGAATGTGATCTAAAGCACTGATTAGTCTCTTTAGAATGATTTGTTCAATTAACTTTGTAGAGATCTAGTAGAGTGCTGTATGAATGGGTAAAAGAGGCACAGATTGTAGTGTAAAGCGCTTTTGAGTATATCTATAAGATAGAAAGGCGCTATATAAGTACAGTCCATTCCATTTACCATATGTAACTCCAAAAAGAAGTATAAAGACTGATGTTTTTTTATTAATCAAAAGATAAAAAATATTCAATTCAATTCAAAAATACTTTATTAATCCCAAGGGGAAATTAATTGTTGTTGTAGCTCATCCTGGTGTCATTAAGACTTGTTATAGATGCTGATGGCTGTGGACAGGAAGGATCTCTTGTAGCATTCTGTCCCAAGCAGATCCGAAGAAACTGACTGCAGATGCCAATCCATCCATGCAGACCCAGTAGACCTCTCGGTCCTCTTGGGCAGCAAAACCATCCAAATGCCGGGCAGAACTCCTCCTTGAGCAATTGCCATTCCTCCCAGCAGACTGCCTAGCACCCCGTCGCTGCAGATGAAAATGCAGCTGCTGGGGGATGATCTCGTTCCTCCCGCTGTCATGAGCCATGTTTCCCGCCACTTCCAAAATCTTGGCGGTCAGGCACTTGAGCAACACCTCCAGGTAGACGGGAATGCATCCACGGCACCTCCTTTTCAACTCATTTGAGAT